GGGGGGGGGGGCGCAAGCTGCCTCGACGGGACAGCGACGAGGGGTATGCCAATAGAGAGTGCCGCAAAACTTGTAGATCGCGATTAAAGTTGTTAAAACTTTCGAGCTATCAAGGGAGACGAAAAGTTTTGGATGGATACTCTTACAATACTTGGCGGAGTTTGCTCGCCGCCGGGGGGGTGCAGGAGGAGGATGCAGCTGGCCGCGGCCCGGCGTTACACAATCGCGTTTGCGAAACGGCATTACTATAGGTGCTATTTCAACATAATGGCGCATTACGCCCCGGCAAAGTGCGGCGCGGCGTAGAGTGCGGCGGTGTCGGCTGAGTTATCGGCCTCGGCCCCATCGCCTCTCCCCCACCCGAGCGGCCTCAGCAGTAAAGCTCGCCGCCGCTGCTGCGCGCCCCCCACCACCCGACCCGCGACCGTTTTTATTATTATTACTACTCGACTGATTCTCATTCCCCACCGTCCCACCGTCCCGCGGACGAGCCGAGCAGCGCGAGCCGCGCCACGGCCCGGCGGTAGAGCGCCGCCGAGCCGAGCCGGGCCGCTGCCGGTTTGCTAAAAGCAAACGAAGTCGGAGAGGCAGAGGACGTCCGTAACTCCGGCTCAACTCGTAATACTCTCGGCGAGCGAGAGCGCAAAGCGAAAGCACGCGAGGACTCAAAAGCGGGGCGAAACGTGGCGAAGCAGGGGGGGGAAGTGTTGACGGCGCACGTCGAGGCGAACAGCCGTGTGAGGAGGAGACGGCGATAAGTGTTGTGCCAGAGCAGAGCGGAGCCCGCGCATGCGCAGCGCGAGCCCCGGCCGCACCAGTGGCGGCCCGCCTAGAGGCCCGCCTGCCGCTGCGCACCCCCCACCACTCCTCCTTCTATCCTCTTTCTATCCCGTTACAACCAGCGAGCCGGAGCCGAGCGCGCAGCCGCGATGGCTTCCAAGCTCAAGCTCTCTCTCTAGGGCGCCGGCTGCCCGCCCCGCGCCGCCTCCCCGGGGCCCCCGCGGGGTAGGGTTGGATCGGAACGGAGCGCTGTTAATTCATATTACCATACCCCGCCCAACAACCATCCGTTTGGCTTCCCCTTCTCCCGCCCGCCTCCCTCGCTCCAACTCGAAGCCACCGGAGCTGGAAAAGGGAATGGAAGAGGGAGTGAAAAATGAAGCCAGAAATTAGAGAACCCGACGGGCAACCGGACGGGCGGGAGTGTAATGGGAACATCGGCGGGAGAGGGGGAGGGGGAGGACAGAGGAGCCACAGCAGGCGGGAGGCGCGCTGGTGCTGATGATGATGGTGGAGTTTTCTCTTTTCCGCTGAGCTGGCTCGGGCCTTGGTGGCGTTGCCTGTTCCTGCCCTGCCTTGCCTCTGCCCGCCCGGCCGTCACGGACGGTCACAGGAGGAGGAGGCGCGCCACGGCGGCGCGCCGCCCCGCCCCGCCACGCCACGGGAACTTGCCAAGCTACAAAGGAACTTGTCAAGCTCTCAAAGCTGGCTGCCTCTCTAAAAGCCACTCTCCGCCGCGCCGCTGGCAGCGCAACGACGACGGCTGGCAAGAGCCTCCTCGGCCTCCTCCCTGGCTTCCCCTCTCTCCCACATCCTCCTGCTTCTCCTCGCCCCCCTCTGTGGTCGGGAGCCTTGTAGCAGTGTAGAATGGTGTAGAGGAGAGGGGCCGTAGATGGTATGGCGAAGCGAAACGACCAACGCGAGGACACGCTCAGGGGCCTCCCCGTCCAGCAGAGCGCCCTGTTTCGTAAGCCCTTCTGGGACGGGGCCCGGGGCCGCACCACACTGTGGCGAAAGCGTCGCTGGCAGGCAACTCAGGAAACGAGTGGCTGTCGACTGAAACGCTGTCGCCAAACCTCGAAACGTTTCATTGGGGGGAATGACCGGCGGACTCCACCACCGGCGTCCGCTTAATCATTAAGGCTGCTTAACTGTCGCTTAATTATTGACATTCCAATCCGCTTAACGGACAACGCGGTGAGGATTGTTTCGCTGTCAGGTCCCAAACCCACTGGCGCAGATTCGCAGATGCGTGGATAAACGTGTGCCCTAAAAAATGAAAACTCCGTTCTCTCTTTAGCATTGAGAACAAAAGAGCTCCAGCGAGATATTCTGCCCGTTACGTTCCCAGCTGTGGGGCACAGCGCTGTCTGTGTGGCTTTGTGCTTTGTGGGGGCCGAGCTGGGCTGCCTGGGCTGGGGCCGAGGCTGCCGGGGCCCCGCGTGGGGCGTGGGGTCGGGTCGGGCCGCATACCTTCGCCTCAGTGGCTGTGCCATGGCTGTCCTGTGGCTGCAAGGTGGCTGTGCTGCAGTGGCTCCGGGCAGCCGAGTGGTGCCGACCAGAGCCGAACACCGCGCCGAAGTCACGCTCGCCCCGCCCCACCCGGGTGCCTCCGCCTCCTCCACTCTACGCCACTCCCCACTTCGCACCATCGTGCGGGTGTGCCAGCCGGGGGCTTTGAGGATAGAAGGATAGAGGAGAGGGAGTAGAAGACCGTTCTATGCGGGCTGGCTGGGCTGGCTCTGGCTCCGCGGGCGGGTTGGGTTGCTTGGGACAGCGACAGCAGTGACAGCACGCTGTTCCCCCGCTCGCCTCGTCTAGAGCCCCGTCTGTTCAGCGCCGTTCTCCTTGCTGCGCTCGCCGCGCCCGCCCCGCGCCGCGACGCGCCGCGGACCAAACCCTGAGCAGCGGGCGAACCCGAGGAGAACCCGTCACGGGCTCGACCTGCGCTGCGCAAGCGCTGCGCTTCTTGTTTGTTTTTCCGCGTTCGATATGACCCACCGTCATTAGTACGCGCGCGGCGGGCAGCATTCTCGATCTCCACTCGTCACGGACTTCACCGAAGCTCTCGCGGCGCGTGACGGCGGATACGGCGGAGCTTCGCGGGACTTCGCGGCTCGCGCTGCGGCTGCGCTGCGGAGGAGGAGCGATCGGCGCCCGGTCTCAGAGGGAGTCTAAAAGACATTTGCGCCGGGCTTTATAGTAATGCGTCTTGTTTCTGTGCGTATGTGCTTCCAAGGAGTGGGCATGAGAAGAGTGTCGCGGAAGTATGCAACCTTTTTGATATTGGTGAGTTGAAAATGATCTTCACCCTTAAAGCTATTTTGGTGTGCGACTCCGTCGCAAGTATTTTTGTAGTTTTGCCATGATTCTTGCTTTTTGTAATTGTTTCTTTCATTTACGATGAACCACCCTCCCTCAATTATCAGTTCATTTGAAATGGAGATAGAGAGGCGCCAAGAAGGGCGGTAAACATCAGAAACTGTCCATTGTCTAATTTCTGACAGGACCTCAAAGGGCGCTGAGTGCGGTTTCGGTTTAAATTTTATTTGAGTGGGTGATACATACTTCTCAGCTCAAACACCAATAATTTTAACATTTACATTGCCCTTTGTTTCGTTTGACGCAGAAAATCTGACTGTTTTTTTCACTCCTATTCTTTTAAGAGTCATTATTATGGTATCCATTTTTGGTAATTAAAGTGCCTGGAATTCATTTGCTACCAGTATGAAGGTAATTTTATTTAGTTAGTTGTAATGAAAACACTAGTGTTTCATTCTACCATTTTAATAGGAATAATGTTTACAGTGCCTGCACTATTCAAAATACTTTCTTCCAGAATTTGTTTGGTAGTGTCATCAACTAACCTCTCCAATTTGTTTACATTTATTGCGCATCTTTTATTTAGAATCTAAACCAGATATCAGTCATCCTTTTTGAAAAATTTAATAACCAATTGCATTTGTTATCTTAGATTGTCATTCATTTCTAAAACCGAGTAAACGGGGAAGAAGAATTCCTGGTTTTACTTTGTTTTCCAAATTCTGCTTACCGTTTTCCACTTGTAATTTTTGAAATCATTTACAGGTTGGCAATGAGCAACTTATTTCTTAATGAACCATCAGATTTACAAGGTTTGTTTTAATTTTTTCTGATTTTACTCCTGTGCAATTTGTATTATTTTTGAACTATCAACTTATTTTCTCATTTTTTTGTTCTAGATGAGCCCCATGCTGGAAGTAACTGTCATAGGCAAAGCATAGAAGGTGATTTTTCCAAACGCCTTCTGTGCCTTAAGCCTGGTTGTGAACATCTACATTTCAAAAGTGAAGTAAGTTGTAAGAAGTTGCTTGTACCTTTTATGTTCCTCTCTCTCTCTCTCTCTCTCTCTCTCTCTCTCTCTCGCTGAAATAGATGTTAATTTATTTTACACTATCCCCTCCCCCCCATTTTCTTTTTTAATTAAATCAATAATATTTTAAACCCTAGGTTGAGCACCGGAATCATCTCTTAGGGCATATCACATTGCCAACTGTCGTTGTACCAAGACTTGACCATTCAACTCTACAGAAGCCTTTCAACAACCCTACTGCCAAACAGGAGTCACTTAAAGTCCGATTGAAGTTAACAAGTCAAGCTGGATCAGACAAACGGGCATTTAAGGTGAGCCTGAATGGACATGAATTCATAATAATTACTTACAGATAAAGTGAATCTTAGAGCTGGCATTATCCCTGCCTTTCATTTTTGTGCTAGGGCATCCTAGCCAGTGGACATAATAGACAATCAATAGAAAGTGCTGAGCAGATCTCTGACTTTTTTACATTTGAGGACCTATTGAATCAAACTGACATTCGTTGTCTGAAGGTAAAATTGTCATCGTCTTTGATGTAGGCAACATATATAGATAGTAATTTTGTGTTTCTGTTTTGAAAAGTTTATGTAATTTTTTTTTTTTTTTTTTTTTTTTTTTTTGGAATGTTGTCTTCATTTAGATTTAACCAATATTGTCAAAGATGTCAGGGTTTGCTTTAGCCTTTTTCTCTTCTTTTTTTTGTGGGGGAGGGGGGTTTAATATTAACCTTATTGTCTTGGATTAATTCATCGTAATGTTTGAGTTTTTAAAGAAATTTGTCTTGTATTTTTAGGTCCGAGTAGTTTTTTGGCTTTGAATTTATGGTTTGGCTGTGTAGAAGTTTTGTTTTCCAGGAAAGTTTAAAATTTAATCGCTTACAGTTTATGTTGTCTTCATTGCAGGTTGTCAAACAGTCTCAGAAAGTACTTTCGGGCCCTGGTGGTCTATTCTGTAGCTTTAAAGAAGAGACGGTAACTGAGTTACCTGAAAAAACTGTAAGCTTATTTACATCTGCTCTGTAGAAACAACAAATGTTTCTGTCCATGTATATGCTCTTACTATTACTATCTTAACACCTTTCAGTTCACCACTCAACAAGATCGGTCTTCCGGAAGGAGGCCAGTGTCTGAAGTCGAGCTGGACGTGCTCACTGACCCTACAGATTTTGAGGAGCAGGGAGGCAGTGTCAGCAACTCTGAGGAGGTACTTTTATTTTTTGGAAGATTGATTTTTTTTTCTCGCCCTTCATTAGTATTCTCACTGGTGACACTTTTCTAGCAGCCTGAACAAAATCGGTATAGAGACGGAGAAGAACGTGAGAACGACTTGGAAGAGGAAGAGGACGAAGAAGAAGAAGAAGATTACGACGAAGGAGGCAGAGAAGATTACGAAGAAGGAGGTAGAGAAGAAGACACAGAGGATTCAGCGAGTCAAGAGCCCTCCACTGCACCTCCTTCACCTTCTCCCAGTGAAATTCTGAGACCTCGCGGTCTTCTAGCACCTGAACAGCTAGTTGATGACGATTCTTGTTATCCACGCTCTCCCCCAATTTCACCAACAAGAATGGTGGAGATGAATGGTTCAACATCTGCAGTCAGCGGATCAGACAATGATAGCGGGCTTTCAAGATCTCCTGGGGCCTTTACTGGTGTGTTTCTCTACCACATCTATCTCTTTTTCTATTTTTAAAGTATTTTTTCCTGTTTTTAAGTTTATAAAATCCATTTCATTTGTCTCTTTTCAGGAGGATCTGGAGCTGGTGGGGAAGAAGAATCATCAATAAATTGGGACGAGTTGGTTAATCAGGCCTCTAGTGCTCATAGCAACAATGACTCTGATACCTCCCATGAAAATGGACAGACTGGTGGGAGCTCAAATGGGAATATTAACAACGTTGTATCAGAAATTGGTGCTAGCAGTGTTGCATCCAACATTCTCGAAAATGACCCATTATTACTGCCAGAAAGCTCTTCTTCAGCTGAGGGAGAACAAGATAATTTGAACCTTTTGCAAAACTTGACATCAGATGCTTTGCCAACTGAAGTTGATAGAGGAGCTGGAAGTGAGACAGAGTATATGTCTTTGGATCGTCTTGGAGACGCAGGCTTTTGCTGTGAAGTGTGTGGAGAGCGCTCTCAAGATCAGAGAGTTTTGGAAGAACATCGAGCTTTGGCAGGTCATTATAAATGTCAAATTATGCCTGAATGCGGATCTATTGTCTGGGCAACTTCAGCTGAGTTAGCTGCACATCAGTCCTCCATCCATGGAGTAAATGCTTCTCAATCTCATCAATCTCAGTCATCTCCACACACACCATCTCCTAGAACATCTCCTCGAACTCCTGGAACACCTCCTGTTCAGCAGCTTGCACAGCAAGTCCAGAGGCTCCCAATACCCCCACAGGTAAAGTTAACTCCCTCTTAAATTGGAGCTAGTGTTTCTAATTTCTCAATCAACTCTCATATTAATAAGTAATTCTGGTTTTATTTTAGGCTGGCTATCCCCCTATACCTGGTGTTCAGTATCCTGTTCCCCCTCAGATGGTGCCGATGATGCCACAGATGATGCCTGGTCAAATGCCCGGTCAAATGCCCCAGAGAAGACCTCCTATGGGTTATCGCATGCCTATGCCTAGCCAAGCAGGATTTGGTCCTGGGTCACCCAACCAACAGCAGCCAGGATTTTCTGGTTCTATTCAACCTCGCCCATTGAATACACTAGTTGCTCAACAGCCACCGAGAGGGCCAGCACCAGGTCGCCTTCCTCCAGGTAACAGCCTGACAGTGAGCATAAGCATATCTCCTTTACCAATGTTTTTTAAACATTCTGAATTTTGAGCAGGAGTTATGCCACCAAGAGGAATGGTTCCGTCCACCAGAGGACAGAAACGATCTGGCCCAGTACCAGGTGTTATGCCTCCGGGAGCTAAACAGAGGAGAGTGGAAGGCATGATGCCACCTCAGTCAGACAAGTATGAACTTTATTTTTGAACATCCTCTTATTGTACCCTTGGTGTTTATTATTGAAGCATCTGTGCCTCTTTTAACAGTGGGCCAGGGAAGAAGAGTGATGCCAATGCTGTGGCAAACATTTTGGCCACAAGGGGAATAACCGTGACACCTGCAGGAGGTGCTGCAGGGCCTCGTGGTGCTCCAGCCCAGCCCCCGCCTCAAGCTCGCCAGCGGCAGAACATGCTCGCGCCAGCTCCACCTCCTCCTGTCACTACTCTCAACCTGAACTCTTCAATTTCCATCATACCAACAACAGGCGCGGCGGGCAATGGAAGACAGCAGGTAATTGAATTAAGAATGTATCCATTGAATCAATTGACTTCAATTTGGTATCTAACACCTTTTTGTTATATCTTTTCCAACCAGAACAATGCTGGATTTGCCATACCTCAAGCTCGTTCAGCAGGACGTCAGCAAGTGGCCACCACTAATGTTGATAGGCCCCCGCGCCCTCCTACAGTGGACCTCACTGGAGATGGCCCACAGGCAGGTTCAACTAGACTTCAAATGGGCCCCACTAATTATCGTGGTAGAGGCCGGCCGAGCACTCTGACTCGCACCACTTGTCAGATTTGTGATAAAGTATTTGCATCTCACGACATGCTTAATCAACACATGTTCACTGTGCACCGGCAAGCTGCTCCAGGCAAACTTCCTTTTAGGTCTGTGGAAAAAAAAGAATACATTTTTTGTTGGTCTGAGAGGGAATTATCAGCTGATGTTTTAATTTATCTGTTTTCAGATGCAACCTTTGCAACGCACAATATCCAACCAATCAAGGCCTTCAGCAACATCGTCAAACATACCACAAAGAGACAATGGGCATGAATACCGCCCTTGCTCCTGGAGAAGAAATGGTCATACCTCTTATTGACCTCAAACAACCAGGTGTAGCTCAACGGCTGGGTCAGCTTGGTATTCACCACTGCATTCCATTGTCTGGGCTTGGTAATCAGTCCAATGGATATTTTTCACTTCCTGTTGTCTCAATTGATGGTTCACGTCCAGGGGCAGCAGGTAACCTGCGCTCCCTAGGAGCAAGTGGTGTTCTTTCAATCGGTCCCATCAAACTTGTTCCTAAGTAGTAATTAAAACTATGACAGGCTTTAAAAGGCTTCCTTTAATGTTCCTATTTGTAAGATAGTAATGTTAGAACTTCATGTCAAATTGTACAACTCTACAGCGTTTATGAAGGCTTTGTTAGGATGTGTAAAGATATTTTCAAATGACTGATATGTATTTATTTTGTTGATATTATCTACCTATATAGGCAAGTTAGTGTTTTGTTGTGAATTTCATAGCTTGTGTAACACAGATATTTGCCAACATTTTAACAATTGTAATTCTGACTGGTTAAACTTACACTATATAAAAGCTTTTTCATGTTCCACATTTTTTTTTTTTTTTCTCTTTTGTATGTTTCAATACTAGCTATGAACAACTACGTATAGTTCTTACGACAGTGTGATCTCAGAATTGCTGTTAAGAGAAAGGGAATGGTCATGACTCACAGGGACATAGACCCAAAGTTTTAAGATATTTAGCACTATATCTTCAAATATCTCTTGTAAATACACTTTAAAGAATTCACTAATGTAATATGTATTTATTTTATGCATATCAACTGGTATTTACCTACTTAAAAGTTAATAGAAAACTTCAATCTCTCTTTTTATTTCAGTATTGATTTGTTATTATGAGATTATCTTTAGTTTGGTCAGAAAATGTATTTTAAACTTTGTGCAGTGTAACTGAATTCACTCACTTGAACACACTATTTTGACCATGTATAAACTTCTTTCTTTTGTCTTAAACTTTCCTTATGACTGATTTAACATTGTCATGTTGAGCAAATGGGTGAATGCAGATACAGAAATTATGAAAAGTGGTATATCTATATTTGTTTCATATTTTACAGATTTGTGGTGTTTTTTCCCCCTTTGTGCCTATTCTGTATTTTCTTCACTGATGATCTGCTGTCTGCCTTTTTCTTTATTTCCCAGCTTAACTGCTATTAATATTGCATTTTTAATCATACTGTTTTACACAATTAATTCAGTCACTTAAGTTTTAAAATATTGATTCTTTTTTCAGTTATTTGACCTTTCTTTAAGTTTTTAATAAAGTTCATACTTTTAAATAATTGCTTTGGTTAGAGCAGATTTATGATTTATGAAATGGATCAAACTTAGTTCTGTCATGGTTATCAGTTAAGATCTTTACAGAATTAGCACAGGACTCTTATGTGGGCTTATAAAAATTGGTTGGCCTATTGTTATTCTCTGTCAAACTTAGCATGTGCCACAGCAATTTTTAATTTATTATGTGACTGAATAAGTGTGACTGAAGCCTGTGCCATTCTGACTGTGATATGTGTGTGTGTGAATAATGTGGAGATAGTAGTAATAAAGTAGTATTCACAAAGATAACTTTGGATTTCAGCCCTCGTTACTCTACAGATAAGCCCCCTCGTGAAGACTGAGTGACAAGCTCAAAGTCCAGCAGCACAAGCCTCAGTTCAAAGGACCTCACTTAGGGCCTGGGGGGGGGGGGGGGGGGGGGGGGGGGGAGGAGATGAGGTGACCAGGGTGTGGGTTTGACACTGGCACGAAAGATCGCCTCAGCGAGTCTCTCGCTTTCTGAAGATTGGCGGACTCAATCATACAATTTCACTCAAAGCTGAAGCACTAAACTGTATTCCGATGAGCTTAGGCCGGTTCTCAAGGTTGTCCATGATGACAGGCAGAAATGTCCAAGCTGCTGTAAACATGACAACAGGTGTTTTAAAATATTCGACACTGCAGGGTTCCAGCTCCAAGCTGGCCGGCAAAGTAGCCATCGTCACCGCTTCAACCGATGGGTAATCAAAAGAAACATTGATTTGTACTGGAAAATAGTCTTTACTTTAAATGTGTCCATCTTATAACCTCTCACTCATATATTCAACCATCAAGTGTTTCATTTATACAATATTATTTCTTGAACTACTGTGATCAGAGCATTTATTTTAAATGATTAACAGGATTGGATTTGCAATTGCTCGTCGTCTTCTTAAAGATGGTGCCAGTGTTGTTGTTTCAAGCCGCAAGCAACAAAATGTTGACGATGCAGTAATGAAACTTCAGACTGAGGGTCTTAAAGCGGTCAGTGGAATTGTGTGTCATGTTGGGAAGAAAGATGATCGAACTAAGCTGTTTGATGAGGTTTGTTTCTGCTTCCTTATACCCTTTTTTTGAAGAACAATGTTCTTTCATCAATATCTTTTTAAATATCAAGTAATTTCCTTGCATTACTTTTTGAGTTGACCACCGCTCAATTATTTCTGCATGCCCCTCTGCATCTCACAGTCCCACTTACTGAATGTTCGTTATTGGCCCACTTGGAACTTCCCCGGAGCAAAACAGCTTTTATTAACAAAGTTTATCCCAACTAGTGCCCTCTCATCCTGAACCAAAATGTGCATCTCTAGACATAATAGTTTGTCAAGTGGTTGTGGCTCCAATTCATTCTAAAATAATGTATCTAGGTTGTTAATGCTTTTTGTTGTTTATCTAAATTTAGGCTGTAAATAAATTTGGTGGACTAGATATTTTAATATCAAATGCTGCTGCTAATCCAGCTGTTGGTGCTGTTTTAGATGTAAGTATTTGCAAATTTTGAAATGTCTAGGGTAGATTCCAGCTACTCTGATAGGAGAAATTTGACTTCTGTATTTTTCTAATATTGCAGTGTGATGAAGATGCATGGGACAAAATTTTTGATATAAATGTTAAGTCAGCATTCCTGCTGTCCAAAGAAGCTCTCCCTCTTCTTCGTAAGCGTGGTGGTGGATCAATAGTTTATGTGGCTTCAATTGCTGGTCTACAACCCTTTCCGGTAAAAAAAAAAAGAGAAGTGTTCCATATTCATATTTTTGATACTGTGTTTAATCAGCAACACTGACACTGCATGTACATTTTGTTTTACTAGGTTCTCGGGGCCTATTCAGTTAGTAAGACAGCATTACTTGGTTTAACGAAGGCTGCAGCTCAGTCTCTGGCAACTGAAAACATTCGTGTTAATTGCCTTGCTCCAGGAATAATAAAAACACGCTTTGCTCAAGCTGTAAGTTGAAACCTGTGCAAAGAATTCAAAATTCCATTTCTCAGAAACAAAAACGATGTATGTTCATTATCAACTTCACAGATAACTGATCCTGATGCATCTCGCGATATTGCTCTTCAATCTATTCCCATGCAAAGGTCTGTGGTAAATTTAACGTTACCTTTTACATTTTGATTACAGAGGTCTGTTAACTTTTATTTTTATTTTTTCCTTAGGTTTGGTGTGCCAGATGAAATGGGTGGTGTGGTGGCATTTTTGTGCTCTGAAGATGCTGCATATATTACAGGGGAAACCATTGTTGCTTCAGGTGGTATGCAATCCAGATTGTAATTGTTGTACTTATTCAAAATTAATATCTTATCATGGCAAAAAGTTTGATTGATTAAAGTTTTTAAGAGAAGATTCTTTATAAATCTTTCTTGTTTTTCAATGAACCCTAGGAGTCAGATAATGTTAAAAGGTCAGAAGTACTTTAGCTTGAAAAGAAACAAACACAGTAATCAACATACATAAGTTTTATTCTGCATATATTCATCAAATTACAATTCTCATACTTCAAGGGCAGAATGTGCATCACTGCTGGCACACTTGTCATGCACATTCATAAATATATCCTTCAAATCTTTGGGGCCTTTTTAAACAAATTTAATCAACTAGCACTTAATCAGGGGAGAAAATAAAGTGAGCACCCAAGGCACCACTAACAAAACACAACTCAAAGTAGCTAAAGAGTACAGTACAATATAAGCATTTTTCGGGAAAGAGGGGGAGGGGGTGAAGGGTGAAAACAAGCACAACTACATCGCAGTTAAAATTCAAAACAGTTCAAAACAGCCATTGTACATAAGATATTTGTTTGAAATAGATAGGTAAGGGCTGCCTTCTGTATCAACTGCTTCATTAAAAGTCTATATAAAATGTTGGTTCATCAGTACAATATTTACACTGACTACATGTACACACAAGGTCCTTTTTTGCCTAATATATACATATATATTTATATTTACTACATCTTGAACATATCATATTAACATAGACTTTCAGCAGTATGAGCAGCGATACAGAAGTGTGATCTAAAACAGCAACTGATGAGACTTAAACCAAGATGTAGTAAATCAGAAGATGATTACAGCTGAGTTAAGATCAAGTCCACATTACTCTAACACAAAGCAAACCACAATTTCCTTTAACTGATATGGTCCCCAGTTTCAGTTACGTGCTTTGTAGAAAAATGATACTGAAGTATTGCTGATCCATTTTTTTAATTGAACACAATGGCACTGACTTTTCAACACTAAGTTATCTCCAGCTTTACCAGTTCCTGCTTTTAGAGTTCTTCAGTACACCCTTCCAAGTATCTGGCTGATTTGAGATAATAAAAAAAAAAACAACAACAAAATAATCTTACAAATTAAGTTCTAACTAAGTGTCGAGCTGAATTGTATTAAAGAACATTTTTAAAAATTCTTAACAGAATGATTTCAAAAAAATGTTACCTAGATGAGTCTATTTCTGACATGACTACACCAAGGCTAGTGATCTCAAAAACTCAAACCAGTGGTTTCCTCAAAGATTAAGATTATTGTTCTTATGGATTTAATACTGGGTTTTTCTACCGTGAATTCCTTAAATACCAAAGAGCGAAAAAGGGGGAGGGGGAGAACGTAGATAAAGCACATCATAGTAGTCACTGAAATATTGGTGCAGTGATCACTGACATGCCATGTCAAAAGGAGACCAAAGGTCCATACCCAAAAGCATATACAGAGAATAAATCTTAAAAATTCAACAATTTGTTCTTTCACTCATGCTTCCTAAAATTAATTTGTGTTCAAATTGTTTAAAATCAAAAATCAATTACAAATTGGATACTAGACAGAAAATAAAAGGACTGTCACAAACAAGCCAATTTCTGACCTACATCTTGGAGATGATCAAATATGAGGATTGAACTCAATTTGTAGACAATCACTATGACAGCTAAGAGCAGCCATACTACAGCTACACATTATATTATGTTTTCTTGAAGGATACAAGAAGTGACTTTGCATGGGAACTAAACTGTCCAAACCAGAGAATACAGTTTAAAATTCCATGTAATGGAAAAAAACCACTCTGCATTGTTACAACTTATATGACAATGACACAGCACAGTACAGCACAGCACATGAAACTCTGTCCTGCAGATCACAATATATTCAACAAGAATTCCAGACACCTCAATCACCACTATATGGACCCTGTCCACAAATATGAATTCCACATGTTCCTCAACCTGACATGCGCAAGCCAAATTTTCCACAAGCATTTCTAAAAAACGAAAATTTAGTGAACCTATGTAGAGGCTACATAGATTGCCTCACATGCCCCTTTGGTATGCATTTCAGGATTGCACACAAAGACTACATCGCACAGAATTTTATTGCTATGTGTTGTTTGGTAATAGGTTCTTGTGTTATTTGCGCCATGTTGTAATTTAACAATTTTTATCTGTAATTTAACAGATTTTAGTTAAGCATACCATATGCTTGATACTTTAGAAGACACTGCAGATGAAAAATCACCAACACATTTCTTTGAAAGAAATTTTAACAGGAGTTGGGTAACTTGAGGATAAAGTTGTTTGAGACATCACAGTAAATTTGAACTTTCTGAATTAGTATTAGGTTAAGTATGTAATAAATGAGTATATGCAAGAAGGTATCTTATTAATTTTGTAAAACCCATCAAAAATAATTATGAAATTCGATGCATTTTTTTTTCCTTTTCTTAAGAAAAAGAGATTTAGCAAAAACAAATATAGTTCAATGAACCCACCCCGCTTTCACAGCTAAATTTTCTATAAAATCCAAAACTAAGGTTGAGGTATTGTGACAAAACTAGGGGATGAAGATCTTGTTTAATCAGCGATACCTCAAACAGATTAAATAGATGCAGATCTGACATGGATGCACGCACTGCCTTCAATGACATACAGGAAGGTAAAGGTAGAAATGCTGAATGATGATGATAATTAGAACTAGAATACTGTTTAATATTTTGAAAGACACATATAATAAAACTATGGCAAATATTTCAAGATGGTCATAAATGCCAGAACATTTAATCTCCTCAATTTTGAGAGTAAGGAGGAGAAAAGAAAAACACTAGTAACACCTATAGTGTAGTAGTTATTGATGAGGATTCGTCTCCCACAGTGCCTCTAAAATATCACAATTGCATTACATGCAGTTGCCCGATAGACCTGAGACTGAAGTATGATTGGCCCGCATAACAATTTGACGTAATCAAACTTCAACCACCAGTAAAAAAAAAAAAAAAAATCTTTGTGTGATGATTATATAACCACAAACAAAACATGAAACATCATCCAAAATTAAATACTTCAATCATTTAACATGAAATACAAGAACTCCAAATTGATTTGCTCATAGTCATACGGCTTTCCGTGCAAATTTAAAGGGGGAAAAAAAAGATCTTGTCAAATGGTTTAAAATAAATATAATAGTTTCCAGCTCAATACAAGACTTCACCACTTGTACAAATGCAGGTGACTTGTCACAAAACAGAAGAGTTAATGTGGCATCATGTCACAAAAGGAACTCCGACAACACAGTCACTCACAGCCTGCTTTGAAAACTATGGCAAAGCTCATTGTATCCTACAAATAACATTACGGTAGCATATGGGCTGCAAATACACAAATACAACATGGAAAAAAATGACTAGTCCTCGCTTTCTCCTACAATATCCAAACTATTACGAAACCAAAAACAAAGAAAAAAGAAGAAAAGTTCTAGAACTGCCACGCCATCTAGTGGGGAGTCCGACTAACAGCTACATGATGACGTGATCATACTGAATCACATTGTCATGCTTGTACTGAATTTAGCAACCCTCTTTGATCAAGTAGCTACCAAAACCCATTCAGCACTTAGTACTTAAGTCAACAATAAAACGTTAGAATAAACTTGGTAAGCACTATACAACCACACAACCTATACCTATAGTACTATTTAAATGATCAAGTGGCAAGGGTTTCTCTAAAAATGATGAGTGAAACTTAATGAGTTGCCATTAACTAATGCATGACAATAGTGCTTCGGTACAATTGCAATTACAGTGCTTAGAATGATCACAATTTTCATGTCACCACTTCACATTTAAATTAAAAAAAAAAAAAGACAACACACTCCTTCGATGCCTTGTATCTGAGACTTGTGCACCCTGCCTTTTAGGTAACATACCTAGCACATCAAGAAAAGAATATTAGAGAAAAATAACATGCTAACTCAAACATTAATATTAATGTTTGATAAATAACAATCTCCAAAACAACAGCAGATTTCAACACAGGAGTATTCACTTACATTTTTAATATTTGTACAATGATTACCTACAAATCTCAACATGGTTGTGTCATTTGTATTAAATGATTTGCTTCTACTAACAACGGTTCAAAAATAATTTTGAAATGCAATGTACAATGAAGATAAAAGTGAATATCCAAGTACAAGCGTCAACATCAACAAAGATTAGTTCAGTTCCTATTAACTACATACATTCTTGCTGGTAATGAATGAATAGGTACCAAATGCTACGAAGAAAGTGCCTGCCCTTGCAGTCAGTAGGAAACCTCTTCAACTTTTCAACAAAAGATTAGAAAACTGAGGAGTGTGTGAAGCCACAAGCAAGTTTAAAGTCAACCATAAGCCAATATGCAGATCATAGCCAAAGAGAGACAGACTTAAGGCACTACACTACTCATGAGAGTGAGGTGTAGAATCTGCATTGTGGTTAGAGTCTTCACCAATTCTTGTTTTTTTAGTGCTGTGTGAATCGGAAGACACATCTGCCTCAGTGGTGACAGTTTCAGTATGAACTTCATAACTCTCTTCATACTCCTCTGGTGCATCAAGAGGCCGTTTAATACCAGAACTGCTACTGTGCTCTGTGATGACAGATGTACCTCCGTAAGAGTTACTGGAAATAAAATACAATAAAAATTAAGATTAAGGGAATGCAAACAACGTAGGTCAAAATTAAGTCCCAAATCCAATAAATAAGAGCCAAGTCTTCCCATAGACGCTGAAAGTGAGGTTCTCCCATGAAGGGAAGAAATGTAAAAGAGAGGGCCCACTTCCAGTTTCTATGTTCCTAATTAGCTATGTACCTGAAGTTTGAGTAAGATGTTTGAACTATGACAGGTGCAGAGTATGTTGTCGGAGGAGACAGTGATTGTTCCTCAGACACAATCAATTGGTGTGCTCCAACATGATTTCCGACAACATATTTATCTGCAAAAGATTAAAAAGAATCAGATTAAAGTTTAAAAACAAAAGAAAAAAAAGAACACCACATGCATACACAACCAAAAACAAAGAACTGATGAGTAAAATTTTCAGTCTGTTTATATATTGGGAGCTGATGACTAACCACTTGATTCATGTACAACTTCACCAGAAACACCATTAGTAACAACAGTAACATGTTGAGTTGGTACACTATGCATTACTGTACTCATGTTTCCACCAGCACCTGTCAAAATTGACAAGTGTAGAATCGACAACAGAACTAATAAGGTAATGGAGAGATCAGGCAACTTACCTGAATGACCTGGCGATCCAGGAGCAGATTGGCTTGTTTTCAGTTCCAAGTGCTGTCCCACAACTGCTGGAGAGGCTACAGTGCTGTCTGGGTACTGGTCTGGTGTTGGAGAGCATTCCCTAGAGAGAGACTCAGGGGTCATCAGACCACTCATACCCACATGGCTGGGAGAAGCAGGAGCACTCCTATTGACAAAGTGACAATGTTAGACTCAGATTCAAAATTGGGAAGATACTAAGTTTGTAATTTCAATTTCCAACCCGACTTGCGATTCGCGATTTGCATTTATGCAATATTCAAACTTGCGAGTTATGATTTTGCGGTTTGATACTAAGTAGGAGCAGTAAGCGACTTGATTGACATAGGGTAACAGTTGCCTTTGCTAGAGAATATCACTAACTTCTCTGGAAATAAATGGCGGTTTTCTTATGTTTGTTGTCTCCCAAACACTTATTCACAGAACAAAAATGCACTGCATTGCAACGTTCTATGCAGCAAAATCGAAAATAGCATAATAGCATAATCCTGTAATCGCCAATCGCTAAGTGCCTTTTAGCTGGATAAAGTGCCTTGAAAGAAACAAAAAGTACCTTGATGAGAGCCCAAATGGTGCTCTAAAGCAAGGGACACCTCTCTGTCTTCTCCTTCTAAATGCTTGTTCAATCAGTTTAGCTTCAGATTGGGGATCTATTCTCCAAAATGAACCCTTTCCTGGTTCTTCTTGTGAGCGTGGTACTTTTATAAAGTATCTATTAAGAGAAAGATTGTGTCTGATAGAATTCTGAAACAGAAAGATACAAACACCATGATAATAAGAACTTACAAGAAATGGGAACATTCAGAATCATGACACACACCTGCCACCCCTTATCAGCGGTGCGATAGTAAGGATAGTTTTTGGTGATATAAGAATAAATTCCACTCAAAGTCAATTGTTTATCTGGAGCAGATGCTACAGCCTGAACAATAAGCTGAGCATAAGAAAATGGAGGTTTTGAGTCATCCTGAAAGTAAAGAAATTCATGTTTAAAGTGACTGCATGTAAGAACATAACAATAATAAGTAAAAATACCACCTAAAATTCTTTAATACCTTTGGAGGACTGTACGATTCTTGATTAGGGGGTGGACAGTGTGTACCATTGGAACTGCTATTATAAACTTTGTGTCCATTTCCAGATTGGATGAGCACTTGCTCTAAGGTGGAAGAATGTGATGACCCTTCAGGTGATGGGACTGATAATGTCACACTGCCATGACTAGAAGTTGCAGCCCCAACTAAGACTTCACCCCTACAAGAAAAACAATCAATCAATCAAGATTACTGATGATGTAGAGATGGCACAGATATATGAGTTCTTTCATCCAGTTACATAGTTACTACAAATACCTGTCATCTCCTGATGTAGAAACAGTTATAGTGTTGACAACAGGATGAGCTCCACTATTACTCTTGGCAACACAGGCAGCAACCATTTGAAGATCAGCACTAATATTGCGACGTGCATGGCCACCACGAGGACTTGCAGGACACGAATTAGCAGCACTGCACAAAGATTAGAGTAATAGGAGCATGAGAGCATGTAAAGAGGAGAATTTAATAGGGAATTAAATCATATAGAAAAGTTCACCTTATGGTTCCTGTTGGAGAAGGGAAAGGACTTCCAAAGGTGAGGTCTGAATTAGGAATGTTAATACGCAGTGGAGGAAGAGGAACACGATGCTGACGGTTTGGTGAAGCATGATGATTACTAGCCACTTCCACTGGTAAAGCCCCTTCATCAATTAATGACTGAAACTCAAGTCTGATGGTTGTGCTTGGAAATCTGAACTGACATCTGAAATAAATAAAAAAGACATACCTCAATTAACATTAACTAAGAATGATACAAATTAGATGATAATGGACTGGTAAGTTGAAAGACTAGATAAATTTTTACAACAAAGTGAACATTTACAAAGGAAAAGGAAAGCGCAAAGTTGCAAAAATACCAAATGAAACGCATAAGACACCCCCACCCCCAGCCCCTTAATAATGAATCCAGTTTGGGGTGCAAAAGAATTTTTATATCGGTTTAAAAAAAATGTAAACAAACCAGTAACTAAGGACCATAATATAATAGTGCCCCCCCAAAAAAAAGAAAAGAAGAAAAAGGGTTTTTGTTTACTTGAGATGAATAAACATAGCAAATAAAAACAATAACAAAGTAAGCGACATAAAATAAACAAGAACACTGAGAAGGTCATGAGGAGACGCGCATATAGATCTGATAGAGAGATTTCGCGACTCCCGATAAAGAGACTAACCTCAATCTCGACAAGACCAGACCCTGCACGGCACAGCAAGCAGACATGTGGTCTCCAAGCAAAATGTTGTGGGAGGCAACATATCACAAAATATGACACTCAAAACGGTCGGAAATGAAAAAAATTGGCAGGAAAGGACCGTATATATTTAAATGTGGCAAATTTTAGATGTTTAAAGTTATTTAAAACAGCAACCTCGATGTTAAAAATAGATTATACACACGCATTCGCTAGAGCCCACGAAAATACTGTGATAGCTTTAACTCATAGCAAAGGGCAAGGGCACTTCATTCAGACGAGTAATTAACGTCAGTGATGAATCTGATGATGGCCTGAATCAACATTGATTCGCTCTAGAGCATGTTTCAGAATTCAAAACAGATTGTTTACAAAACATGCCTGGTATTGGCTTACCTTTTCGGCAGTTGTAAAGATGGAGCTCCTTTTCTCTGAAATACGCCATCGACGAAAACTCCATTCTTTCCACCACATACCATGTAAAAATGGGGGTGCTCGTAGAATATCTCAAGGTGCTTACGAGAAATAAAGCTAGAAACACCCATGTTTACATCCACCTCGCCTCTTGAGCTGTTCCGGCCGATGGTGACCCTTTTCTGTCGCACCAAATATTCGAATTCTCGTCCTTCCAGGCGAGCAATTGGTGTCCCCTTGTTTTCTGGGCTCCATTGCACTTTGGAAGGGCTTGCAGGAGCAGATTTGAGGGCTAAAAGAGCCCAAGCATTGCTTTCTTGGGTCCGTGAATGTGCAGACATCACTTACTGATGAAATGGCTTCCAGCCGATGAAAATCGCAGTGTTTACCGAGTGTTTACCCACAATCCAACGAAACGTGGGTGGCCACAGCCACGTGACGATCGCAATCCAAGAATCAAGTCAAACATGGACTTAAATAAATAGAGCTGATGCACGACTGCTGAGGGAAACACGACTGTGTTCTCCACGGAAACAAAATAAGGGTTTGTTTGTGTAGGAGGTCTATCAGTTTCTGGAATGACTCACAATGTTTTCAAGCGGTAAACGACAACGACGCACATACACACATGGTCATAACAGGGGTTTTCTTCTTCTCCCTCTAGTAGCCCAAAACATCCGGTTCGTAGGGCCAGGAGTTCCGCAAAAAAGTAGCGGGAGGTTTGAAGCTGGTCGTTGCATGACATATGACGAAGTTCTCTTTTCCGTTTTGGTTGCGCACTTCGATCAACTTTGAATACGGATAGGAAGTAAGAATAATTTTAAAAAGAATGCATGGGGAAAGTAATTGTAATTTTTCATAAAGTATTTATTAACAAGTAAAACATGAGAAAATAAGGTGGTTGAATGGTTTCACCTTGATTTCAATTCACATTTCTTCAAATATCAAGGGTTACATTTCACAAGATAAAATTAATCCAAGGATAAAGAACATTTAATCACTGCCAAACAAATTTTATTAGTCATCTAGGGCACAAAGAGCAGCGACACCACCATTGATCCAGACATTTTCTGGTCTATCCGACGGCAACAAAATAAACATCACAAAGTTGGAAGAATGACCAGTTGTTGAGAGAATTCCACGTCTTTCACTCGTCTTGTACACTGGACAATTGTATGATGGAGGGGGGTTAAAACTGGCCTGCAACCAAAATATTTAAGCAATTTACAGTGTACTTTAAAACAGTTCTTCAAACACCAAGGGACACTGTACCTTAATTCCAGGCTTGAGCCAAATAACAGGAAGGAAATCAAACATGACTTTGAGTAAAGGGTCATTGAGCAACTTTGATGCCCTGTCCCATCTAGCTCCTTGAAGAAATAGTCCCTGCAATATTATAGGTGTTGTTAAACATATTACCTCAAAATTCCAATCACTGTTAAGAAAAAGAGTCTCATGCAGAAGTTTGTAAAAAAAGTGAGTGTTGCACTGATAAATATACTAAATAGATAAAAAAGAATAAACATGAAAAGTCAGCCAATAGATTTAAAAACTGCACTGATCTCACCTCTATGAACACACTAAATTCCTCTGTTTTAATTTTACGCTGCATGTAAAAGTTAAGTAGATGATTTATAGTAATGAATGAAAAGTTTGTGGGATTACAATACAACTTTAGTATAACACTGTATGCGACCAAATGATAAACATGGAATTTACCTTTGTGTAAACTCCATATGATGGGTCTTCAGGGGCCTTTTTTTCATAGGGGGTAATCTCAAAGAGAAAACCCAGATGATCAATAGGAATTTTCTCTCTACGAGCAAAATTTTGCAAGACACCGGTAAGAAATGACTGCGTGAAAAAGAATCCTGATATCCAGAAGACAACGGGAGAACCATATGTGATCCAATCTTGAAAAAATTTTAGGCTACAGACAAAAATATATTAATACGAGAAAAAAAATTGACTGAAATTATTTTTAACTAAAACAACAGGGGAGGAGAATAAATACTTTACCGAGCTAACAAATCTGAGATGTATCCCCCAAGAGGCTTCAATGATGGATAAGATTTGGCACTCCAAGCTGTAGGGACACGACCAACAACCATACTTCGATACACCTCTTCCAACTCAGAATTCATGACAACAAGTCCTTTGACAGCTCGCTGGACCTCAACTAATGTGTGCTTCACAACTTTTATTAACCGGTTAAAACGTACCAACTCCTGCAGGCGATTTCAAGAAGAAGCAGTAGTGACAAAAATCATTATTTATGATAGTTATCATGACAATAATTACCTGCTTCAAAACAGTATTCATTGAGTTACTGTACATGATAGGATACTTGGCAGCAACTGTTACAATATCAAACTCTTTAGGTATTTTTTGATGTATTTCAGCAGCCAATTCAATAACCATAGCATCTGAGTCTCCTCCTGCTCCACCAGTGGTTAGATGTGTCTGAGTCAAAAGTGCCCCGTGAAGAAGCTGCAACAAAATTTGTTTCAGTCAGCATCTAACTTGAGTTTTAAAAGAATATATATTATAAGGCCAATTTAGTTTTATTTACCTCTGATGTTTCTTTATTGTCTTTAGTTATATCTGCATTTTCATGCAAACCAAAGACTTCAGGTAAGGGGTTAAGAGGTATTTTCTTAATATACGCCAAACAACTCTCAACATCGGGACTGTCAGGAATATAGTACAGACCACTTGGCGAAAATGCAAATCTGGATGAAAAATTTTACAGTAGTAACATTATGTTCTGTTTCTAGTTCAATTTAGAATGGTAGAGACAACTTACTTTGGTATGTCAATAGTGTTCTTGTTGTAATATAAAGATAATAGAGACAGGAGAAGACGCCTATCTTTGTCATCAGTTACGCGACCTCCATAATTGCACTCTCCAGTTAAATAGGACAATGCATCGAATGGAACTGATTCATATTCATTTAAAAACATCTGATAAAAAATAATGTTCCAAACTCATTATTAGAAACTATAGAGGGACTAAAAGGACTACAGATAATTTTAAATTGGTATACTGTATTTAACCCAGATTTATCATCTGCAATGTAATGCTACATAGATAAAATTGAAGGCTGATATATATACCTGCAGTTGAAGAACTGATATTCTAAGATCTGATTCGTTAAATTCATATGGAATATTCCATCCAAGAGGGCCAAACTTTCTCCTTTCTTGAATAACTGCATGAAAGAAGCAAAGACCAAAAAGGAGACATCTCCATTCCTTTTGCTTAACACAGGCATTGAAGAACTCTGTATTGTTGATAGGATCTGACATGTATGATCTCATTAAATTCATTCGCAGACCTTTAGGTGCTTCATTTGTCATTTTTACACCTGGAATATTAAAAACAATTTCAACTGGAGTCATAACTACTGAGATAAATTGATGGATAGGAAGCCAACCATTTTGCAAAACAGAAACAGGAAAAGCTTTGGAGGGATAGCTTGTCAGCCAACAACGGAAATCTTTGTGGATGTGTTCGGGTACAATAACTTCTTCACAAATCCGATCAAGTTCTGGCATCCAACTTTCTGCTAAATGGCAGTTTTGAAGCACAACCCATTGTCCGCTCTTGGTAGCCTGATTAATCATTTCTGCTGCAATTGGCCCCTAAGGAATGAAATTTGTTAGAAATACCATATAAAAACTAAAAATCTCACAACTGTCATTCCACATACCTGTCCTTGTCCAAGAGATATTGTCCCTAAGGTATTTTTGTCAATGCCACGGTCTTCTGCAAATTTTAAAAGTTGGAGCATGGGATCAGCTCCCGGTGATAGTATAAAAACTAGAGGAGAACCGCAGTGAGAATCACTGTAAGAGTCAAGAAGACTGAATGGTGGTGGTTCAATAAATGACTGGCCTAAATTATTTGAAATAAATTCCTGAGGAATAAATGATAAATTTGTCAAAACACAACAAACGTACAACCCAATTCCAGAAGCATATCCTAAATGTAAAATTTTTACCTGTATTGCTGGGACCAACTTGTCAGGTCTTAAAGCTCTGAGAATTACAAGTTTTTGTAGGCCTTTTACATCTGCATAAGGAGATGGTGGCTTTTCAGTTTGTGGAGAAGGTGAGTCATAAAATAATTTCCACCCAGTTGTATCATTTTGTACAGATTTCATGAACTCTTCCATCCTGTGTAAAAGTGTTGCTTTGAAACATTTTATTTCACCTTCATAAAATACTTGAAAATATGAAACATACCCTGGAAGATTAGATATTCTTACTATTTCAGACCAGGATTTTACAGAAAGCCAAGAGGGGTCTGGATTATCATAAGGGTTGTCCAAGGCAACACCTCCAGTTAAAAGGAATGTCCATAAATCTTCTAGGATACGCCGCTGAGAGAAAATCAATCAACTTTGAATCAAACTCTAAAAACATTATTTGACCAAAAAAATTTATGAGGTAATTACACTTTTATCCTACCTTTGACCTTAATATGCCTACACAGAGAACAAGAGAAAATATAAGTTTGTCTTTCTCAAAGAGTGAGCGGCACACATTTTTGTAAATACTCATAGTGAAGTAAGAGTTTAAATTTGACATCCTTTTTTCTAAATTATCTGACTTTTCACTGTTGTTAATGGACTGAAAATGAGTTCGGTGTATTATTGAAGGTAACAAAATATATATCTCTTTTGGAACAAAGGACTGTGTGTGAAACATACCTGCAAATACAAATTTATGAACCACAGCAGAGAATACTGATACATAGGATCAATGTTTGCGAGTTCAGAAATGCAGAAGAAAAGGACAGCAGAATGAGTAGATACAGGTATGTACATGTTCCGAGTCTGGTCTATTTCTTTCTCTGTCACAACTGCCACTTCCTGTTTAGCTTGAATCGACTCTGACAAGACCTGAATAAATTGAAGGTACACATGATGTTAAAATTTAGGATCATGAAAAAATCTCCACGCTTTAAAATTCCAAATAGCATTACTTTTGATGATGTTAGTATTTGAATTGCTGATTCATCTTCTAAAATATTTCCCTCTGAGGATGATAATACCATAAGAATTTGGTCTTCTATTTCTTTTAATTGTCTTTTGTTATCAGCACTTTCTATTATTAGATTGTTTTTGCGTTCCTCCATTTCAGGGCATTCTTTGGCAACCACAATGGCAAGAAGTTGATCCTGCAAACCTTGTGGTGTTATCATAAAATTGAGAAGAGTGACCTGTACAGTACACATTTGAATTAGAATAAAGCCCCAAAACAAAAAAAAAGTGTCAGTGTCTCACTAAAGAGGCTCATTTACCTTCACAGCCACTTCGGGTAGGTAATGAGGGTTACGTAAGCGTGTTGTAATGTAGAGGCGGAAATCATTGTTGTATTCTATTACATTGTCTCCAAAATTTAAATACTCTATACCACCTTGTTTAAAGACTGATTTCAATAAGACTGGTTCTACAAATCATGAAAATTTACAATAAAAAGAGCTTTTTTTTAAGGGCAACTTAAATAAATAAGACTATAGTAAATACCTAAGGCAGCATCAATATCCTCCAATATATTTTCTAAGATCACTGGGTGACCCATTTGAATAGCAGTCTCAACAATCCGCAGAAAATTAGGATCAGATTGTTTAATTACATGTAAATTGTTGCCCTTTTCCATATTTTTTATCCATTTATTAGCCTGTCCTATAATTTTATTCACAAGCATTCCAGAAAATTATTTTTATATTGTAGTACTGTATTAAAAATGCATATACAAACCCTAGTCAAAATATTAACATACCTTGAGGGTCTATCATGAGTGGCCACCTTCTAGCTTGGGTTACAATTATACCATTTTCAACCGAAAAGCTGTCCACAGGAAGGCCTGCAATATTCCATGTTCTTATTGAGACTGGTTCACCAAGAACATCAATTAATGAAAATTCCTCTGAGCATGGTATGTTAAGTTGTTTGCATGATTGGTTCCATGATTTTCTTATACTCTGAAAAAACGAGAAAAGTTGAAAATGGCAATTTCTTTGATAAAGAAACTTATCAACAATTCAGAACGAAAAATCTCACATTCCGAAAGTCAACAGTGAATGCACCCAAATACGCAGTAAATCCTGATGATAGAAGAACATCACCAACAATATTCTCAAGAAGACCATGCAGCATTTTTGCAGTATCACTCCATCTTGCTTTTTCTCCTCCCAAACCACCTGGAATTCATGAGAAAGTATGACTTGGAATCGACCATTTAAAATATTTTCAACGTTAAAAGGTAAGTATAAAATAGTGTACCAATTAACTGTTCTGCCCGAACAATTTTTTGGGAACAGAGTTCAATGTTGTCTTCCAGTTCTTTCTTACGCCGAGTCATGGTTGCAAAATCATCATTTAGGGCTTGAAGTTTGTCAACGACTTCTTGAAGTTGTGCTCTCTTTTCGTTCAATGTTTCCATTTGTACAGCTAGTTCGGCTTCTGCTTCAGCAAGCTTTGCCTTCTTTGGTTCTACAATCTTAATCACACGATCATAAACCTCCATGGCTCGGACCCATCGACATAGACCTTCACAGGCAGCCGAAATATTCTTTATGTGCGCGGGGTCAAAATCTCTATCATTTATGTACCTTTCTCTGATTCTTTTCATAATTGATGGGGGGATATTGTCCTTGTCATATGTTTTTAGGCTATCAAGGAACTTCATGTCACCCAAAATCTTTTGGGAAGGACCCCAATAGTCCTCAATCATTCGTCCTGACCCACTCGGATCCGGCCTCCTTTCCGATTTGATGCCTTTCATGACACAGACTGCTTCCATTACTAGGCGCACTCCATGGGGAGGGGTTTTCAAAGATTTCACCACAGTAATATCGGCTGGTTTTAAAGTATTCAGAGCCTGAATAGCAGACTCCAAGGCAGGTATGGCTTCAGCAAGATCTGATTCACAATCATCTTTAATGGCCTGTGCTGCAGCAGCAGCCTCATTAGCAACTGCTTCATCAGCTGCTACGATTTCTTTCTTTGCTTCCACAACTACAGTATCCTGCTCAATTTTAATCATTAACTTCTCTGTCTTCAGGGAAGTATCAATTAGTTGAGGTTGCAATTGTGTCAGTTCCTCTTTCATCAGAGCAATCTGACCAGCAGCAAAGTCCAACTTCTCCAATCCCACTTCATATCTATTAGCCATTTTGCTGATTTGCTCAACTTTCACATCATATAGCTTTTTGAACATGTGCAAAAGTTCAAGATATGATGTTGGTGTTACATAAGTTAATCTTTTTGTTTTTTGAAAATAAGCAGAGGTGGCAGTGTGCACAGACAGGTGAAACTTCTTACACAATGTAACACAGGACTTCCGCACTTTATCATCCATTTCAATTTCTTTAAGGAAAACAGTAGCCACTCGATCAAGTGCATCTTCTGGCCATGTGGTAAACCAGTCAATAGTGCAGCAATTAATCAAAGAAGGAAACATTCTAATACGCTCACGGAAAGAATCTCCTATTGGTGACATTGCCAAAACTAAATGAAGACTGTTTCTGACTCGTTCCACAAAATAATTGTAAAGGGCCAGTGGAGTTGAATCTATTCTTTTCCCACAACTTTGAGCAGCAGACATCATTTTTTCAAGTATATCTGCTTTATCTTCAGACCCAAACAGATTTGGAACATCTCCTGTGTTCAAAATCATATTAATGTCTTCTATGAATGCTTCATCTTGGATCTGGGAATCATTGAAGAGAAAAACATGAGGCTTTGTTTCAACACCTGCCTTTCTGAGAAGGGATCTAATATCATCACGCCATTCATTCATCCCATAATTTTTATTGATTTCAATGAGAAACAGCCCATATTCAGCCATACTGGTAGCTAGTTTTGTTGCCGACTGCCTTCCAGAGCCACCTATGCCAACAAGCAAACAGTGTCCATTGTCTTGTTGCAAAACTCGACTAATGCGGGATATGTGTTCCATAGCAAATTTAAACAGAACTAGTGACATTGGAGTGCGTGATAAGAGGTTGTACTCATTTAAGTAGTATTGCATCTTTTCAACAAGTAGGTCGTAACTTTCAACCTCAGTGTATATTTTTGGATCTGCGTCAGGATCCATGTAATTGCCAAAGAAAAGGTCTCTCAAGTGTTCATCTTTTAGGTCATTTTCTCCCTCTGGAATAAGGTCATGGAGTACTTTTTCTAGGGGTGCTCTCAAATGAGTCCTACATGCTGATCGAATCATATCAAAAAATGTTTTGCGGTCTATATCATCTATAAGACGATCATAAAACACTCTATAGGTTTCATGGGTCCACAGCCTGAATAGCTTATCAGTATCACTAAGGTGTGATGATGGCACCAATATAATTCCTCTGATGACACGAGAAAAGTCACGAAGATTGAAAGTGTAGTGAGACTTAGCAGGAGTTGGCAGGAATCGAGCCATTGACTCATGATAAATTTCCATTGTAGCTTCTACTATTGGCTTAGCATATCTTGAAACATCAGAGCTGAAGCCTTTAGCAAAGTGCCACTCCAGAATGGAATGAAACATTTTTGTTAGGGTTTCATTTTCAAATGAATCAATTGATACAATCTGATTGTGTCTTAGGAAACGAGATGTGACTTGATTTGAACTTCCTCCAGGAGGGCTCATTGCTCCAACAAATAAAATATCCACCAGATCAATTCTAGTAGTGTCTTTCAAATTATACCAATGACGATGATCAATCCACTGACGAAGGAGCTCTATAGGAGGTTGTGCTCCATATGTATCTTTCATGGGCAAACTCACGTCATCTACAAATAAAACATATTGTTTTCCCATTGCAGGACCATACACTCCCTTCCGCCTCCTGTCAAGTTTTGACATAACAATTTCTTGAGTCATATTGGCAGATGTTCTTGCAGAGAAATTGACAACATTTGGAAGAATTTTGTCTTTAGGTAAGCTCATGAGATGGTTCAGAACAATGGCAGATTTTCCAGTTCCAGTTGGCCCAACAAAAAGAATAGGAACATCATTGGAGAGACACATCTTCAGGAAATATCTTTGACAAGCTGATTCAGTAGTAGGTATTATTAATTCATTTATTTTGGCTGATGGTGGAAATGAGACTTTTTCCATTGTGTCCAACCAAGAAATCCAGGAACCATTATTCTTCTTATCAAAGACCCATTCAAAAACAGTTCCTTTGTCTGGGAATAGTTGTGATTTGCTGAGCTTAAATGTTTTGGGTCTTGGATGTTCATCATTTCTCCCATCTAATAAGTGCCGAAAAAATGTATCAAATTTCTTCCTTGAGTCTCCCGTAATGGTTGAAGCAAAACCCCATATCACACAAAACAAAAATACGCACTGTAACCAAACAGTGCTCACTTGGGTTTCCCCTTCAAGATGACAGGTTAACAGGCGGGAATATGATTGAAACATGTGTAGTTCTGAGGACCACACAAATTGTCTACAAGAATTCTGTACAAACTGTATGGTTGGTGGTATGATCCATGCAGTGAGTTCCTCAATAAGTTCAAATTGCTCTTCTAGTATTTTAGAGCTGAGAGAACTATGAAATGATTTGCAGAGGGGTTGCCATCCAAGCTTAGATGGCTCCATATAAATCATCCCACATCTCGAGACAGTTGCAGGAGAAGCTTGCTCTAGGTCGGCTGGTTCAAAAATCATGTTCATTTTGCTTGTCATCTAGTAGTTGAAGAGGGAGAATAGATAGATAAGTTGTACCCTTTAAACCCAATTCATTTACACAAAAAACCTGCCATGTACTTTACATACCTGAATAATTTCTCCAGACATCAAACAAAGTTTCTTATTATCATCTAGAACTGTATTCATGTTTTCTATCCAAACAGCATCAACAGGACCATCAAATAAAATCCATTTACGGTCAGCTGAAAGACTACTTGAAAATTCTCGAAAAGATTTTGCCAAAACACCTAAACATTAAAATAAGAAAAAAATCAACAATAAACATATTCAATAGAGAGAGAAAAAGGACATTAACAAAAACAAAATATAGATTGAAGGCACATACCATCTGACCATTCATGAGAGACGGGATCAAACTGACCATAAAGCTGGCCCATTGTAATAGCCTTTGGGTTTATTACCCTGTAGTTGACTTTGTGTTCTTCCATTGTTGATTTAGAATCACTTTGAAGATCACTCAAAGAATCTGCTAAGTTCTAAAAATAAGAGGATTTAGAAAAAAAGTTCTTAATTGTCAGAGAGAAAGAGCAGGGAGGGGATAAAAGAGATCTTACCTTGTATGCACATGTTTTTCCTCCCATAGGATCACCAACAAGCATGAGGCCATGACGAACAAGGATCATTTCGTACAATTGAATAACTTTTTCAACATACCATTCAGTTGCTTGTAAATTCTTTGCCTCCAAGTTTTTCTGCAATTTCTGTAACAGCTCATCGCGATCTGGCTTTGGTAATTTAATGCCAGGAAAAAGATCTGAGATTATTCCAGAAAAAAGCGGTACATCCTAGAAAAACAATTTTTAGATTCTTACAAGTTTCATCAAGGGTTTTTATTTTCCAGACAGAAGAAATAACTGATACAAATATGGAAGCAACACCTAAATTTAAAAGTCTGATATTACTTACCTCAGAAAGGAATTTGGGTAAATTAACGTCAGTTATTGCACGCAATACCAATGAAGACTCATCTTCATTTGGATATTTAAGTTTTAAATTACCAGCAGCTGTTAGGACTGTTTTAACAGCACGCATGCCATAGTCATAGTGGCTTTGAGAAGAAAGTTGTTCAGAGCACAGCTTGTAAGTGTCCACAATTTTTTCTGATAAACTATCAGTTTAAAAAAATAACATAACAATGTGTGTAAGCTGTTAAATTGGAAATTTACTAATAAAAAATATGCTTGGAAATTAGAATAAAGTTGCCTTACCTTCTAGCATTTACAAATCCCATGGAATACAGGGAAATCTCTCCTATCATTGCATAGTCTGGGACCATCATAGCTACTGTACGGAAAAGAACTTTTAAGTTGTCTGGTAACTCCTGTCTACCAGCGTATCTACAGAGGGAGAAAGAGGAAGAGTGATGACACACAAGATAATTATATACAGATATTAAATTTATGTTATTATGAATATGTTATTTATACCCAGGGTTCATGGTTATGAAAATTGTGCAGGTTGGATTCAGTTTCAGTTCCACTCCCTCAAAAACAAATTTTTCCAATTTATTGATGATTGCCATTTGAATACAGAGTACTTGCTGGGCAATGACAGACAATACTTCCACCTCAATTCTGTTGAATTCATCAAAACAAGCCCAGGCTCCAGAACAAGCTAGTCCCTGCCATTTTGAAAATTTTGTTAAAAATTTAAGAAGATAAAATAAGTAACAATCACTTATTTTTAAATATTTACCTTGAAAAATTTACCCATGGCTTTATAGTCAAGAGAATCTGAGCAGTTAAAAACAACACATTGTTTGGCAACAGCTTTAGCTAGATCTTTTGAAGTTTCAGTTTTTCCAGTGCCAGCAGGCCCTTCTGGTGCACCACCCAAATTCAAGCGCAGAGCACCCATCAAAGTCCTGTCCAAAAAAAGTTCTATTATAAATACTGCATACAATCATGATCTAATCATTATATTAAATTCTAAACTCTTTTATTCAAACCTGTAACAACGGTCTGTGAGGGGCGTTATAACTAATCGCCCTGTGTTACCTAGATACTCATATCCGTAGGCCAACTCTGTGGTAATCATGGACACATAAACATTACTATCTTTCATGTAATAACGTAACTGACTAGTCCAGTTGAAATCTAATAAGGACGAAACTTGATTTGCTACTAGCATCCTTACTACATCTCGAGCTGGAATAAAGAAACAATTTTTTAAAAATTGGAAAATAAAAATGTTGAGACACAGAAGAAAAGTTACAAACACATACCATGTACATCAATCACTATGAGAGCTTCAACTGTAATTCTAGATCCCTTAGAGAGTTTACCTCGTACAAGCTCAACCATGTCATCAATTTGTTGGTTGCTCTTGTCTAAATAGCTCTACATTTAAAAATAAATTAAGGAAATTTATACAAAAGAAACCATGCAAGTAGAAATATAGAAGTATGCAGCATGACAAGTTTGTAATACCTTTATAGATCCACTTGTGATAGATTCAGATACTTCAGCAGTCCAATGAATAGTGCTCCCACAGAGAACTATCATTCCTGGCCAATTGAGAACCCAAAGTGATCTTGCTGAGTTGAAATAAGCTGCCACAGCATCCAATGCAATTGCTCGCATGGACTTCACCATTAGATCTTCAACTTGTACAAGCCATTTTTCAACCATTCCCTTTCAAACACAGAGGTTTCAATTATTGAAAGCTTGATTTACCAGCTAAACAGTAGAGTGCAATCTTTGTAATCTGGCTACACACACCTTTGCATCATGTGGCTGAATTCTACTAATAAGAGGCACTGTTTCTGACTCAGCAGAAATCATACTAAGAATTTCGCAGTCCTGGTTGAACTCTAAACGGTTAATACCTTCAAAGCACTTTTTCAGATGAGGCTGAACTCTCATTGGATCCTTTGTTTCAGACAAAATTTCTAAAAGCTCATCATTTGAAAGGAAGAAAAATCTACAAATTTTTTTTAAATAGAATAATTTGTGCAAACAAATTATATAATTGAACAAAAAAATAAAAAATATACAGGGTACTAGCCTTGGGAAGAATAGTCGTTTCTTTTCAAGATAGTCATTTAGTCCTTTCTGTATTTCCTCTAGAAGTACATTATTTTCTCTAAGCAACTCTAACATATTTGGGTAGTCAGTAGCTATAAGGACATGCCGATCAGCCACAGTATTTGCCATAATAGCTCTCCAAGACTTGTCCACTTTTCTAAAATTAGCTGCTTCCTGAGGCATTTGCCTCATGATATCCTCAGAGCTGAAGATTGGTTCCAGGTAGAGCCATGTTGCTTGACACTAGAACATAAATTTTCTCAATGGATGGAGGTCTACAAAAGAGCACAAAAGTAATCTTGAAAATACAATTGATTTTTACTGTGAGCCAGGCATCCAATATGTCTTGCATGCTTATCAACTTTTCCTCCCAGGCAACCATATCTGCTTCAAAAGCCTTGACATATGGAGATCCCCGCATTGTTTGAGCTTTAAGAATATGGTCATCAAGCAGCATTTGTATATCATCTACTGCTGACAATATAGACACTCCAGAATCACTGAAACAAGACAAAACTTTGATTCCATGCTTATTACTTAAGCCCAACATGATATCATATAACATAAACATTAATACCGATATAAGTTCAGATCAAACTTCATGTCCTGCCACTCATCTTTCATTTTTTTAAGGTTCTTTTCTAGAGCATACTCCTTTGTTGCCGCAACACCAATCTCTTCTAGAGCTTGTAAGTGTTGCGGTAGTCCCACTTCTATCATGTCTTCAAGAGAAGTATTTTCATCAGGCTTAAGAGGTACTCCGACAACCTCACTTAACTATGCATAACATTTAATATAAACATTAAAAACAAATCTAATGAATCAGTTAGAGTAAACATTTCAGGCTTTTACTTGCCTTTTCCCAATGCCGCTCTTGAATGCCTGGATTACAAATTGTTGTGAGAACAGGCACATATTGACGGAATTTTTCCACTTTGGCTCGAACCATTTCAGCAATTCGTTTTGCTCCTGGAGTGTCCTGAAGAGTCTTTGCTAGCTTGTAAAGTGTACGCCATGTTGACTCTACCTCCTCCGCAATTTCCTCAGCGTCCAGTTTTAAGAAGGGCCCTGAAATGATTGCATTGTAGGTAAAGAAAAGAGGAGATAAAAGAGTTGAGAGTAATAATTAGACAAGAAACTATGTTAACAAGACTACTAACTCATAAAACAAAAAAGAAATTACCATAGTACCACTTGTCATATTGTTTGTGGAAGTTTAAGACAGTATGCCACAAGCGGTGGAAAGGTTCTACAACCACTAACATGTTGTTCAGGTTTGTAAAGGGGGTCAAATCAAATTCTAGAAGACCCTCTTCTTCATTAATTTCCTGTAACCATCACAAGAAAGAATATATAAATGAATATGTAGCTATGTCACTACGACTAAATATTACAGATAAATGAAATGTTTCATTACATTAGCAATAACTTTGTCCTCAAAAAGTTTTTCCTGTATGTCATTAATGGCTGCTGCACTTTCTTCCATTTCTTCCATAGTAAGAAGAGGAGGATCTTTCCGGCGAAACAAATCTAATTCCTTTCCATGCTTGGCAATCCTAATAAAATTTAGCACATTTTATTTTAAATTGAATTTTTGTTACTGATTTTGAAAATGTAAAGGAAACTTACGAGATATTAAGCTCGTCCAAACGATTCTTCAGTGCGTTTTCAACAATATCCCTCCGATGGGATAAGCGTGTGTTTGCCAATTCTAATGACACCTCTATTTCACGGGGCCAGTTGAATACTCTTGAGTTTAATTGAATGTCTTCACCTAGTACAATTTTTTGTTTGTTTAGTTTTGTGATTAGATGAAAGGAGAAAATTAAAAGAGAAAATAAACATTTATAATTATATATGTAGTTGAAAGTTATTACCAGGTAGAATGGTACGGTCTATAATGAAAAGTAGATTCTCAGCAATGTTTAAGATCTGAATATTTAAATCAAATACAGTTACGTCTCTGCTTTGAATCATAAAATGAGTAAGTTCAACTAATTCAGCTGTCTTTTCAGGAAGTTCGCTAACTCTGTTACATATATCTTCAAAAGTACGACATACTCTGTAAGAAAAAAATAAAACTGTCCTGATATCTGCACACATTTGTAAATTCCTGAATGGGTAAGAGATCACTTACAGTTTGTTTTCAGCACGTATTTTGGTAACAAAGAAGTCTGTTATGTAATTTTTTAAGTCACTTAAAATGTTAACCATTGTATCATTCACCTCTGCACAGTTAAGACTTATAAAATTTAAAGGAATTGTTCGTCGCAAGAAATCCACATCTAAGATTTTCTCTTCAAGTTTTTCAATTTCTGCTGCAAAATCCTACAATGTTTAATGCATATTAGAATATTATCTTGGACTTAGAAAACATTACTGGGGTATTTTGAGTTAATAGACAACCTTTAGAAATGGCAGTGGTACTATTTCAAACAGATCCTTGACATCTTTTTCAGCTGTACCATCTAGGATATACAGATAAGGTTCGTATTCTCTTAAAAAAGCGTTGGGACCAGCCATGTTAGTATCAAAGCTGTCCAAAGCTTCTTGTATGATTGCTGTCACTTCTCTCTCTGACTCAACAACAGGATACAGTGTCAATCCAGAATCCTGCATATCTTTCAAGAACAAGAGACAGGGTAAATTCAAAATCTATACTAGTTAAATAACAATATATACACAGAATTTTGGGGTACTGCAGTGTAGTACCAGAGAAAAGAAGGCATTCCACACATGGAATATCCGAATTGACATTTAAAATTTTGCTGAAACAGTTATGAACAAATTTTCTAATGTCATCAAGCATAGGGAAAAAAGTAAGGTCTGTGCTTGGGGGAGAAGCCTTAACTGTGACAGTCACCAATGGAATATTTATGCAAGCATAATCAGCATACACTTCACCAAAATTATTTCCTCCCTGTAATACCAGAGCTAATAGTAAACACATCTCAACATAGTTACAATAATATCTGCGTACTGAATGGATCTTACCTTGAATCGCACAAATAAAGATAAAATGTGATGCAAAGACCGCATGACCAAAGTACGCAGTTGCATGGACATTAGAATTCGAGCACAGTAAAAGAAAGATTCAATTAGTTTCAGAGAGTCACGGTTTTTATCTGGCACTAAAGAACGCCATGTGGACTTCATATTCAAAAATATGTCAGCGCACTTTGGAAGCCACCTATAGCCGAAAATTAATTAATTTACATAAAAGAACTTCAATAAAAACTATAGGACAGTTAATAAGATAATCTTACTCATTTCTCAACCGATCAGAAGATTCATCACACAATCGATCCACTTCAGATTCAAGTTCTGTAAGTTCTAACGGAAACGGATTGGAGTCTTCTAGCTGACTTACAGGAACAATCAGCATATCATTGTACCTTTGAGAACCAAAAAATAAATAAAAACAGCACGTTATGACTAAGTTGTACAGTCGCACCCATAATAAAAACATCTTCAAATGTAACATGGAATTCTTACTCATCCAACCATAAATCGCGAAGAGCAACAAGCACAGGGTTTACTATGAAAAGATGATGCTCTATCATCTGTTTGTTGGTTATGACTGTTTGGTGCCAAGGCACTGGTGCTCTTATACAAACCCGAAAGAAGGGTTTTGGATAAGTTTTGATGTTAAGTCTATCTCTCTCAGCAGGGTCAAGCATAATATAGTCAAAAATTACAAATCGTAGCGTATTCATGTAATCAAGACGAATTTCCTCTTCAAGATCTTCAATAGATCCAAAATTGCTGTGGACATGTTAAATATCAGATAATTTTTCTAAAACAAACTACATTTAAATTGCAACCTCTAATACATACACTATTCTCACCACTCGAATTTTATCAAGTATGTTTTTCAGCAAATGCTGGGGATATGGTTCTATCATGTGATCTGGAATTCCCTGGCAAAGAAAAAGACACACACAATATTTGAAATGTCAAAACAAGTGACAAAACTGATACACTATGATCCATTCTCTTGGGTTTCATTTTGTGCTTTAATTTTAAACTGTGAAAACTTCTTATTATTCTGAAAACTTAGTGATTCAAAATGATGCAAAACTATGTGCTTATCACAGGCTCATAAAGATCTTGCCTTTTGTAAGTAGTAGGCAATCCTTTCAGCATCGTCTGGTTCAACAACATACACAGCATTTTCATCTTGAAGATGATGAAGGAAACTTAATTGTAGGTCTGGATGGACAGGCTGTGGAGCCTCCATGGCCTCAATCAGCCTGAATCATACCAGTTCAGAGATGATTATCTAAGAATTCTTTTTGTAAAGACCAACAGATCCCATGAAAATCAAGTTACATGATGTTACCTATTTCTTTCTTCATGTTCAAATGAAACTCTTTGAGAACGCTCCAACCATTCTTGTTCAAATTTAGCTCTTCTTTCAGCTTGTTCTATTTCATGGCGAACTTCAAATTCCCCATTGCACAGTTCCTGAACAGAACACACTATAAGAAATAAATAAATAAAACTGTTAACCCACAAAAAGAAAATACATACAATTAAAGGTACAGTCTGTGGTTTGATTATATCAGTAGCCTTTAAGACTTTTATTTCAGCTAGTTTTGCAATTTTTGAGGGAGGATGTTGAAGGAATCCTGTCTCACTGAATGGTAGCTCAATTTTCTTAGATGAACCTCTTTTTCTGCGTGCAGATAAGGCATGGATACGAAGAGGAGCTGCTGATTGGGAGAAACAGCTTCCAATTGATTCTGAAGGCTTACAATATTGAACAGCATCCTTTAATAATTAGAAAATAAAGAAATTAAGATATTTCTCAAAAATTCATGGATGCACTTTTCATTTTATTTAATAAAAAGTATTAGACCTTAAATGGCACAGCTTTAGTCCATGACTTTGGTTGCATGAGAGGAGGGTAGCACGCTGCAGCCAAAACATCATCAAACAACCTTGATGATTTGTCAATAGCTTGAAATGCACGAAGGGGTTCGAGTGGGATTTTCGGAATTTTGTTTAGAGGAACTGGGAGGTGGCCGTTAAAGGTTGACGGACTGCTCTCCATTTCAAGTGCATCAACTGCTTAGCACACACTATCTGTGGAAAATCCAAATAAAACAAACCTTTAATTTATTTAAATCATATGGAGCAAGCACAAAAAGTTTGCTTCAGTATTCAAAATGTCAAATCAGAAGAACTAAAGTATGGAGACAAAACCGACACAAACCTTATGGAAAAACACAGCTATCCATAACCTTAGCGATCATCAGCTGGCAAATTGACAGACGTAAAATGATGTGCTAGCTTCAAACATCAACCAAAGTTAGTGTCATGTACTTTTCTTGCAGCTAGAATCATTTCATGTTGTAATGAAAGTGAACTATATCTTCTGGGGGCGAAAACAACGAAGATCCCGAAGAACACCACAATTTCAGTGTTTATAAACACCCACTTAATGATCTCCTAGCAACAACATGATGATCAACATATTCCAAAAAATATAACACATTACTTTCAATTTTTAGTGAGGAATTACTTAAAGAAAATAAAAAGTACATTTTAAAAGTATTTTTAATGGAATAAATATTAGTTTTAAGGTCATAAACTTTTTAATAAATATAGAAAAGCTCCTAGGAAAAATTATTCTTTAGTTGGCTTTTCCTATTTACTTTGTGGGGGTATAACACCTTCCTACAAGGCGGTGCCACCTTAAGAGTCGACTGCTGTGAAGAAGGGAGTTTGGACGGGTTGGACGTCGGAGGTGTCTTAAGTGTGTTGTCGGCGTTCAAAATGGCAAATTTAAGACAGACCCCTCTCACATGCAGTGGGCATACTCGGCCCGTAGTGCACTTAGCATTCAGTGATGTCACTGATACCGGCTATTATCTAATTTCAGCCTGTAAAGGTACGTGTTGCTCCTTTGTGTACCGACGTTCTGGGTGGTTTACCTTGGCCCTGTTTTGTGTTTGCGTGCACTTAACCTTAACGTTCACATACTTTCGTCTAAGTTTTTAAATTGAACTATTATCTATTCTCCTTAATTTATAAAACTATTTCGGTTTTCAATTTTCTTTTAGATGGGAAGCCAATGCTCAGGCAGGGAGACACTGGTGATTGGATTGGCACTTTTGAAGGCCACAAGGGAGCCGTTTGGGGGGTAGCCTTGAATTCGCAGGCGACGAGAGCAGCTTCTGGAGCGGCCGACTTCAATGCTAAGGTGCGCTGTGCTTCCTGGAGTGTAGAATGGACCTGATTGATGTGGATAACAGAGATGTCTGCAGGGTCATCTAGTTTTTGTTGATTCACCATGAATCCTGGCTGCTCGGGCAAGCCCCATTGCAACTATGGGAACACTTCCTGATTTTCTGGAATGGCTTAAAAGACTTTAACAACAAAGAATATATATATTTTTTTACAAATTCTTGTTTTAATATCAGGTATGGGATGCAGTGTCTGGAGATGAACTCCACTCTTTCCAGCACAACCATATTGTGAAGAGTGTAGGATTTTCAGCAGACAGTTCCCATTTTGTGACTGGAAGCAACGAGAAGTTACTTCGTATTTTTGATTTGAACAAACCTGAAGCAGGTAGGCATGAACTGTTCTAATATCACCCAAGCCTAATTGTTGTCATGATCTAACAATTTTACTTCTACTCGCTCAGACCCCACAGTCTTCAGTGGTCATACAGGGGGTTTAAAACATGTAATGTTCTTCAGAGGGGATAAACAGTTGATAAGTTGTGCTGATGATAAAACCATCAGAGTGTGGGACAGAGCTTCAGGCCAGGTAATAATATGTGAAATTTTCTAATTTTCTTGCAGACCCAGTAAAATTATTTGATCTTATTGTCTTAATTTATTTCAATCATTATTTAAGTTTTCTCTTTTGTTTTTTCTGCAGGAGGTGCAAAAAGTGGAGCTTTCTGCTGCTCCAAGTAGCTTAGAAGTATCTAAGGATGGATCATTGATGACTGTGACTCATGGGAATGTTGTCAGTTTCTTGGACACAGAGAAGTGGGTTCTTGTGATGTGAAACAAATTGTAATTTATGTGAAAGGATTCATTTATGCTTTTAGTGTTATGAAATTTATTTTAAATTTATAGGTTTGAACCAGTTAAAGAATTCACTATGCCGACCCAAGTCAGTTCAGCGTCACTTCATCCTGACAAGACAATCTTTGTCTGTGGGGGAGATGACTTCAAAATGTACAAGTATAATTATTCAACTGGAACAGAAATTGGTAAGTTGTCTGTTTAAAGACATCCACTATAGTACTTATGTGCTCCTTCAGTTCAAACTACAATGTCCATTTTATGTTTTCAGAATCATTTAAGGGACATTTTGGCCCTGTACATTGTGTACGATTTGCCCCTGATGGGGAGCTTTATGCTAGTGGATCTGAAGATGGTACCCTCCGTTTGTGGCAAACAACAGTTGGGAAGACTTATGGTCTTTGGAAATGTGTTGAGGCAACCATTGGTAATTCAACGGAATCTGCTAACCCACCTGCACCAACAATCCAAGAGGTCCCTGCAAATTAAATTATTGGAATTACAAAATTATTTCAAAAGATATCAGCATCCAATAACTCTTTTTCAACCTATATTGGTGGAAGTACTTAACTGCTTCTAAAATGATATCCTTTGGTTAACTTGTACATGTTAAACAGCATTTGTCTTAAAACAAAATTTTTGATAAGATCGCACAAGTTTTCACACTAGCCTTTCAAAATTTAATAACATGCATCCTGATTGTTCTTTGAGCTCAGGTGATATATTATGATTGTGATATTTTTTTACTGTGGTTCCACAATTGAATAGTGTACTGTTTCATAATATTTTTCAAAGCATTGTTTTTCCTCCTTCAAGTAAGTTTCATTAGAAGGCTTTTAAATTATTTTTAATGATTATTATTTATTGGCCAACAATCTAAATTGTATTTTTTTCTCCAATAGTACTACCATTGTTGAAAGATTTTTTCCCCTCGTGTATGTGGATTTTATTACATTTTTCAAAACGCCAAAACAAAATTGAAACTAATTACAAGGCTCATATTAGGCCCAAGATTTTATGTTGGTCCCACTTCAGGGGTTGTGCAGACTACAAGTTGACTTTGTCGTTCTTCACCTGTTAAAAAAATGTCTGTGCCAACCATCCGGCATTTTGTATTTTTTTTATTTTTTTTTTGTTTTGTTTTTCCTTTGTCTTCCAGAGATAGTAGGAAGTCAAAGTTATGTATTTTTGGTTTGAATATGTCAACCTGATCTGTGCATTGGTGATTTATCAAAATATGCAGAGTGATTAGCTTCTTGTTGCATTATTGGGAACTGTTTGATATTGATGTGATGATATCTAAAGTAATGTATTACAAATTCAATCATTATTGGTAGAGGTCATCTGGTCAAGTTAGACGGTGGAGATTGAAGACTCAGCTCGCTGCTCGTTCTTGCATAAATTTTGTTGTCTTTGCCTTGTAGGACATTGTGAACTTATCTAGTTCATAGTCTTTTTTACCCAGTCCTAGAAGAATTTCCATGTTCCTAAGAAGGCATCCTCAGGATTTACATTACTTTGCTGACTGCAAGAAAGTGCTCGAGCTATTTTCATATTTTTAATTTATTCTCACTAGAGTTAATGACTTGTGATATTGTTTATACCCTTGCATTAAGTAACCTGTGAGGAAAGTATGACCCATCATTTTCATGTTTTCTAGACTTCTACAATAGCCCTCTTTAAGCATGGTTTCATTATTTTCATGTCATATACTCAGTCATACATAATTGTGACTAAAATCCCAATAAGGACTTGAAAGTAGTGGCAGGATACATCCTTGTTTCAAATGTGAGTTTCCTTGGAAGGATGCAAGACTTTAAAACATTTCCTATTGATTATTTCACCCTTACTTCAGCATCAAAGCAAAGGCATGTCTGCATTCCACTTAATAAATATTCATTTTGAAAGAAGTAATCCTGTTTTATTATTCCCACAAGTTTTGAATTGATTAGTTCCACAAGTTTTGAATTGTGTTAATTGATGTCTAGCAATATTTTCTCCAGGCATGTAGCTAGGGTTTAGTTTTGAATGTAGCACTTTTTGCCTACTTACATGCCCATTCGCCTGTAAATCGCCTACCCATTAGGAATCTTGTTCAATTGTCAAAATATAGATTCCTTTGGAGAGGGTCATTATGGGGTCACATGCGTACCTGCATGAACTCTCCCCCCCCCC